CTGCTTATCAAGAGTGACTTAAGCTTTCGGGGGTAGAAACAGTGGAAATAAAGCAGGGCTCCCATGTTTAAGCTTTCTCTCCACTAGAATACTCTTTAAAACAAAAAGAAGGAGCTGGGGACACCCTTCGCTCATCTCTGAGGAATCTCAGCAAACAGAGGCAGCCCTAGCTCTCCACTCAGTAACTGGGCTCAGGCCCCAGAACCTTCTCTGAGCTTTCTCTTCAGACTCTGAGCCCATCTGTGGGGGAGCGTAAGGAATACCAGTTCCCATAAGTCCCAGGATGGCTGTGGATTTCCAGTGAGATCATACCTGTAACATTATGAAATGATTAAGTGTGTGAGAACCATGTTCATTTTGGAATTGCATGCTAGTCTTTGGCTTGTGTGTTTCTCTACCATCAGACACACTGCTTACCCAGTGGAAAAAAAAAGGACAGCCCATAAGTCAACAAGTAGAAACTGTATATTTTGACTTTTACTTCTAACAGTCTCCTAACACGTTTTTGACTCCTAAGGATCTTGACTAGGGTTCTACAAATACTGAAACAAAGGGGGAAATGTGAGATTCCCACCGGCCATCAGGATCTATAAGAACCAAGAAGGAGCTGTGCTATGCACCCTGTGTTTTGATTCTCCTCACCTTGGGTTCTTAGTAGAGATGGGCAACTCTGACTTGCTGACAAGCACACATGTAAGTGGACAACAGTGAAGAAAAAAGTGCCTTACTGTGAGTTAAATAATGACACGACTTTCAATCCATGTTAGCTTCATAACTCTTTTGCCCAGGGAAATCTTGGGTACAAATCCCCAAATGAAACAAGTGGAGTTATTTGAAGGTGGGGGTGGCCTTAGAATTGAAACCTTAAGTCTTTCACATTGCCTGTCTCCTGTCCTGCGGTGGCTCCCATGTCATCTCAACACAGTAGAGGAATTTCTGTCGTGATGAGCAGTTATGTAAATTATGTAAGGATGCTAGGGAGGAGCCTGGTCCTCGGTGATGCCTGAATTCTATCGTTATGTATTCACTTCCTGCCTTTTCTCATCCGTAGTCATTTCAAATGCAAGTATCTTAGGCAACTTTAATGTCATAGGTTCAATGTTACTTAGCTTTATGTCAACTGGAGACAACCTAGAGTCATTGGGAAAGAGGGACTTCCAATTGAGAAAATGCTCTGTAAGACTTACCTGTAGTATTTTCTTGATTAACAATTGATGTTGGAGGGCCCGGGACTCCGTGGGCAGTGCGACTCTTAGACAGCTGGTCCTGGGTTCTATAAGAAAACCATGGGGAAGAAGTCAGTAAGCAGCATTCCGTGGTCCCTATCTCAGTTTCTGCCTCCAGGTGTCTGCTTTGGGCTCCAACCTTGGCTTCCCTCAATGATGGACTGTGATCAGGAATTGTGAGCCAAATAACCCCTGCCCCAAAATGTTACAGTGAGCATGAATGTCCTATTTATGAGTGCCAGAACTGTGGTTTGGAGCACAAAGTTAGATGGAGTTATTTTAACATTTTTAAAATAAAATTAAATTTTATATCGACAAGAATCCTGATCCACCAGGGGATTTCCTAGTCTACTAATGACCTTGTGGAGATTTTGTTCTGTGAAAAACTGTATTTTATGGCCTCTCACCCACCCACAGGATAAAGGAGACAGAGATTGTTATCTCTTGCTCTGAAAAAAAAGAAATCAGGGCCAGCAGTCTTGAGGTAATAAGTAGCCACAATCAGTAGCTTTGAGTTCTCTCCGTGTCCCGGGTGTTTGGGGCACTGCACCTTTAAAGTACATAAAGAGACTCAAAGATGCTTATGTTTCCCCAGTGTGTACTTTATATGTATATAAAATTTAATTGCCCCTTTATGGACACAACATACCCTGCAATCGCTATCTAAAGCCTCACATTTGCAGATCAGTTAGAGGATTAAGTAAACAAAGCCCTGGGAGAGCCAAGCCTGGGCAAATCTGGGTGAACTTGTCCTCGGGTGCCTACTGTTGATGGAACTTTCTCCCTGGGTATAACCAATGACAATAGCTAGCCTTTGATGAGGCCTTGGTGGCCCAGCAAGCCCAGCACTAAGCCCACAGGAGCAGAACTTTTGGACTGACAATCACCTGGGAAGACACTTGAGTCACCCTCGTTTTACACGAGAGAACAGGCAGCAAAGCGTCAGAGGAGAGGTCCCATCCAGACTCCAGAGATCATTAGCAAACCTACTGAGCTCGCCCTGGGCTTAAGGGAAACAGAAAAGCTGTAAAAGGAGAACCCATTAAACAGAGGAAAAGCTTTTCTTTTGGTATATCTCCTCCATGCTACTTTCCCCATATGACAAAGTTACTAATAATTCTTTACCTTCTCAACCTTCCCAATGCTGTGACCCTTTAATGCAGCTCATCATGTTGTGATGACCCCTGTAATTTTGATACTGTTATGAATCTTAATGTAAATATCTGAGACGCAGTATATCTGACACATGACCTCTGTGAAATGGTTGCTTGACCCCCAGAGGGGCTGAGAAACATAGACTGAGAAATACTGTCTTACGATCAATTTTTATGACTATCTGCTATTCCAATGTGTGAGTCTCACTCTCATTAATAGTTATTTGGACATGGGTTATTTTCAGTTTATTAATAATACTTTAGTATCTGCCTGTGTGAACTAAATATTTTCTCAGTCTGGGATTGTTTCATGATAATCCACTAAATTGGAACTACCAAGTCAAACTACATTTAGGTTACATTCCAAAATTTCTAAGAAGGTTATATACCCTTTACAACTTCTGCAAACTTATACAGTTACCAATACATTTGCACAGTTATCTAAATGCATTTGTACCAATACATTTGTACAGTCACCACTAATATATGGTGTTTGTTTTTGCCTTATCCATATCTGCATAATTATTATGCTTTAAAATAGGGGCTAGAGAGATGACTCAGCAGTTAAGGGTACTGGCTGCTCTTCCAGAGGACCCTGGTTCAATTCCCACATGACAACTCACAACTGTCTGCAACTCCAGTTCCTGGGGACCCAACACTCATGGCAAAACACCAATGTACATGAAATAAAGATGAATAAATATAAAGTATCTTCCCTAACTCAAAAAGAGAAAAAGTGGTATTTTTATTCACATATGATTGAATTGTACTTGAAGCAGAACTTCTTTTCCTGTGTTTGCTAATTAGTCTCATCTCTCCTTTTCATTAGCCTCTGAAGACAGAATCTCCTGCCTTGCTGGGGAGGATGGATGCCCACAGTCTAAAGCAGCAGTTCTCAACTGGGGGTTTGCGACCTTTTGGAGGTTGCATATCAGATATTTACATTACAATTTTACATAACAGTAGCAAAATTACAGTTATGAAGTAGCAATAAAATAATTTTATGGTTGGGGCAGATACAGCATGAGGAACTGCATTAAAGAGTTACATCATTAGGAAGGTTAGAACCACTGGTCTAAAGTAGGCAACCAGTGCTCCCAGCTTCCCTCTGATGACTGTTTTTGTTATGTTCCACAAACTTTAAGCTGTATTTTCACTTACTTAAAGAATTTATTTTGGAGGCATGGTCTCATTCTGTATCCCAGGCTGGCCTAGAACTCATGCAGGTTGTACTGCCTGGATTTGTATGTCAACTTGACACAAACTCAAATCATAAGAGGAAGGAGCCTCAGCAGAGGAAATGCCTGGACCAGATCCAGCTGTAAGACATTGTCTCATTTAATGAACAATGGCGGATGCCAAGCCCATGGTGGGTGGTGCCATCCCTGGGTTCTGTAAGAAAACAGGCTGAGCTGGGTGGTGGTGGCACATGCGTTTAATCCCAGCACTTGGGAGGCAGAGGCAGGGTGATTTCTGTGAGTTTGAGACCAAGCCTGGTCTACAGAGCTACACAGAGAAACCCTTTCTCAAAAAAAAAAAAGAAAGAAAGAAAGAGAGAGAGAGACAGAGAGAAGGAAAGAAAAAGAAAGAGTGAGAGAAAGAGGGAAAATGGAGGAAGGAAGGAAGAAAGAAAGAAAGGAAGGAAGGAAGGACAGAAGAAAGGAAGGAAGGAGGGAGGGAGGGAGGGAAGAAGCAGGCTGAACAAGCCATGGGACACAAGCCAGTGAGCAGCACCCCTCCATGACCTCTGCTCAGCTCCTGTCTCCAGGATCCTACCCTGTTTGAGTTCCTGTCCTGACTCCCTTCAGCAATGCTGAGGTGTGAGCCTAATAAACTCCTTCTTCCCCAGCTTGCCTTTTGGTCATGGTGTTTCGTCACAGCAATAGAAACCCTCAGACAGATCTTCTTGCTTCACCCTCCAGAGGGCTGGCATTACAGGTGTGAGTCATCATGATCAGCTAACTCGAAATATTGTTACTCTTCAGACATCTCTTAGCCCATGGGTTACTCGACAGCATATCATGTTTCATGTTAATTTTCATATTTGAGGAACCTCCAGCTATTTTCAGAACTTTTTTCTGGTTTAATTCTATTGTGGTTTCAGAGTAAAACCTGTGTTTCCTGTTGTTGCAAATGGCCTATCCTGCTGTATATTCCCCGTGAGTTTGAGAGTAGTCAGCTCATTACAGTTGTAGGATGGAGTGTTCTAGAAAGCTCAGGTAGACCGAGTTGATCTATCTGCTTAAGTCCTATACAGCTTTACTCTGATCACCCTTTTCAAAGAGCATTCTTAGTAGCTAGCGAACAAGGCAAGAAAAGGCAAGTAAAACTCATTTTGCACTAAAAATGCGAGACACAGCCAGACACATTCTCCATCTAGTTTTCAGTTTGTGTCTGACGACTCTTTCCAATAACGAAAAGGATGTGCTCCAGGACCAGTGGGGTAAAGGGGGAGTCACCACGTCACCGGTTGGTTTTTTCCATATTCTACATGACGCTTTTATGTCAGTCTCACGCTCCGAAGCTGTGCTCGTGGTAATTCATAACGGGAAGGTAATAACAAGACTCGGCTTTTATAGCTTTTTATGTTGTAACCTCTTTGCACTCTACACACCCGAGCCTCGGTGTTGTTGGCATTACAGAGGATCGTCTGCTTGTATAGTGGTACAGTTTTAAGAGCTGCTTCAAAAGCAACCAGGCTATTTGGAAAGCCTTTTTCAAAGCTAATGTGTGCTGCCATCAAATGTAAACAGTGCGCGGATCTCAGGAGCAAACACTGAGTGCACACTCACATCACGTCACTGTTCCGAGCCCTTCAGCTCTAACAATGCAGAAGCGTCAAGCCTGGGTTTACTCTTTAACTCCGACCCTGTTCAAAGATCACTTACTGGCCTCTGACGGGACAGGTGGCATACCTGTTACACTTTAACAAGGAGCGTTTGGGTGAGGTTCCGTCACTCAGATACCCCGGGATGCTCTCATGTGTGGCAATGTGAACCCTACAACATTCTTCTCTATATCCGGAAGCCTAAGGTCCATATCCATACTGGGCACTGGGCAGGGATTCAAGACTTCTCCTTCCAAGTGGTAGATGGAGAACGCTATCTTGCTCCTGAGAGGGTAATTGCTTTGTCAAGTAACACACTAATTTTCCAATGTCGGCACAAATATTCCAAATCTTGATAAGAAATATATATATATTATTTTTTGCAAAGCATATCTTAACAGTCATCCTTTTTGAAACAGAATTTACAGGGAATAACTTTCTACAAGAGATACCATAGATTCTACGAGGCTCTCCAGAGAAGCCAAGATTAACTTCCTACGTCAGAGGATCATTTCCGGTTCATCTAGTCACACGGGTCGGGTTAAATTGGGATTATACTATATTTGCAGTCAGTTTCAGGTGGACGTATATGCTGAGGGAACCGAATTTGTACATTTAAGAGTGTGCAATTAGGCCCTTTCAAAAATATCCCAGTAGCTTTTGTTTGGTTGGTTTTTTGTTTGTTTTTGTTTTTGTTTGTTTGTTTTTGTTTGGTTTGGTTTGGTTTGGTTTTTCGAGACAGGGTTTCTCTGTGGCTTTGGAGGCTGTCCTGGAATTCGCTCTTGTAGACCAGGCTGGTCTCGAACTCACAGAGATCCGCCTGCCTCTGCCTCCTGAGTGCTGGGATTAAAGGAGTGCAGTCACCACCGTCTGGCATCTCAGTAGTTTTATAAACTTTTCTTATTAAAAGTAGTACCGATGTTTCATTAGATTGGCTTTAGACCTACTTTGGTTTGTTTTTCATGAATGATATATGTTTACTTTTATAGTTATTGATTTATTTTTTTATTGGGGAGGGGTGTGCCATAATGGAGGTTACAAAAAGCAGTTCTCTCCTTCCACTGTGTGGGTTCCACGGTTCAAGCTTAGGTTGCCGGGCTTGGCTGCAAGCATCTCTATCCACTGAGCCATCTTTTAGGAACTAGTACTGTCTAACTCTTTGAGCTTGATGCCTGGTAATTACTGGATTTTGTACATTCATCTTACACCTAGCAGCCATCCAAAACTTGAGTTCTGATCATCTGTCCAGATTGATTTTTTTTTCTGTTTAAACAATGTCATGTGTAATTAAGTAGTTTGCCTTTCCCAAAGACTTTTAAAGATGTCTTAAAACCTGTTTGTTTTTCTTTCCTAACTACATTGGCTAGAACATGTAGTGTGTTTAGAAAAGTCACATACTAGGGGACTTCTGGTTTCTCATATTGTCTTGTGAGGTAAACAGAGTGCTTAAAATTATGCTTATTTCTACCCAGCTCCCAGTGTTCTGCACTGATAGGATTCAGATGTCAACCATGCAATTGCTTGAGTTGCTTCTTTCTTAAGGGAGCCTGTATCTTGACCTTCCCTACTCTCAGAGCTCATGTCTCCTGAACTTCTACTTTTCTCATGTCTAATGGTGTGTCTCCATGGAGATGAGTCCTGTTGTACCACATTGGGAATGCTGTTGACGTTTATGTCTATGTGAGGGGTGTGACCTGGAATGTTACTGGACACAAGCCATGGAGCTGAGAGGGTAACCTTCCCTGTGTGGCTCATATCTCTAGTTAAGACTGTAGGACCTCTTGCTAGGGAGCAATGACAATCTGCTAAAGCCTGATTCCCAAAGCACTCCTAATTGTGTGTCAAGAAGGCTTAAATTACCAGCTGCAAGAGGAAAATATCTGGGATATATTATGTAATTAAGAAAAAGTATTGCTTCATTTAATATCAGGGCAATGAGGATGGGAAAAAGAAACAAGGAAAGAATGGAGATATTCTTTAGAGGAAAGTAACAATATAAAAATACCACAGTTAGCTGGATGATGGGGGTACACGCTTTAATCCCAGCACTCGAGAGGCAGAGGCAGGCAGATTTCTGAGTTCAAGGCCAGCCTGGTCTACAGAATGAGTTCCAGGACAGTCAGGCTTACAAAGTGAAACCAGATCTTGAAAACAAGCAAATAAATTAACAAAAACCCTACAATTAATAATTCTCACTAGTGGTATTGAAAACGTTTTTTGATGAGTTGTGGTGGTAAATGGTGATGATGGCACGCCCACAAATCCTGTTTGGACCAGCTCTAAGTTTAAATAAGCCCAATGGTGGATTCTTTTTCCTTTTCCTGTAAAAACATTGGGGGACTAACAATAATTCTTTCATGGTGAGATATACCACTCTTAACGATATTCAGTGTCACCATATACATACAGTATAATTGCTTTGATTATACCTTTCATTCTGGGCTAGTGAGATGGCTCAGTGGATACCTTTGCTTGCTGCCAAGACTGAAGATCTGAGTTCAATACCCAGGACGGATATAGTGAAAAGAGAGAACCAACTCCCTAAGTTGTCCTCCAACTTCCGAACGTACAACCCCCCAAAATAAACAGTGTAAAATAAATAAAGAAAACTTCTATTCCATGTCCACTGTGTGTCAAAATTAGTTTTTTCAGACCAAAACTATAAATCTCTCTTCAGAAAGGCAATCCGTTAAGTCATAACTGAGGTTAGCAAGGAGTACAACAATCTGTCCTTATAGCTACAAATCTAAAGTTTAGTCTCTGTCTCTCTCTCTCTCTTTCATACATACACTCACACACACAC